TTTCATTTCTACAGATTTACCCTTGAGTTGGAAGGTGCAGACATAGCGTGGCCTTACTTACAAATTTCCATTTTGTTAGTAATTCTGAATTTCTAAAGAGTATCTAACCAGGAACCGCTGTTTTACTTTTGCTTCCTTTCCACCTGTAAAAGAATAATTTTTTCAACCTTGTCGCCAGCTGCCCTTTTTTGTTCATCAACGACAACCGTATAGGCTTTACCGCCTAAAATTGCCCAATTTATGAAAGGTGGAAACCGTTAAAAGATAAAAGTCCAAATTGAATCTACCATAGAATTTCATGTGACAGCTTTGAATTTGCAGCTGCAACTAGACTAGAAAACAAGAACAGATAATGGTCACATTGTTTTTGCCAGCGAAATGTCGTAAGCAAAAAGATTCTATTATGCAAGCAAAACATCTTCACATATATTATCATTGCATTGAGATGGACACTAAGAACTATGGAATAGATCCCTCGCGAAGACGTTCTCGAGGGAGGCCATCGACCAGATGGACAGAGGACAGACAACAGATGGACACTAAGAACAGATCCATTATCAGCTGAGAATTTAGCTGGTCCATCCGTGCCACGAACACGACCCATCTGGTCGATGGCCTCCCTCAAGGACTTTTTACTTCCGTGATGGTCTACCGCCACATGGTGGCGCGGGGTTGCTGTGGGTATCGAATTGCGAAGTACAGCGGAGGTTTTTCCTCCAACAGGGTCTCCCAAGCTGAGAAGGAGTTTAACGTTTTCGGCTCCCTGGATGCCCAGATAAAGGCAAGCCATACCAGAAGGCCCACCGTCTGGCTGATTAAGTCGCCAGATGGTTCCCTGATCCACATAAATCAGCGATAGCCCTTGGAGAAAGGTTGGCAGGCCCTGGCAAGGCAATATGGAGACTCATTCTATTGTTTGTATAGCATGTAATAGCAAAAGAAGCCCTGCAACTGAATCACAACTCCAACGTCAAATGTCATTAACCAGTGTCAGGTTGCAGTTCGCCATGGATTTCGGACCAAAAGGACACGTCAACGACTCACTAAGATCCTACCATCTCGCCTGGTTATCCTTCGACTCCGTCCTCTGCATCAAAAAACCGTTACTATCATCAGCTGCTATTCTCCAACATCAGCAACTGATGACTCGAAACTCGATGCTTTCTATGAGGATTTGAAGGAAGTTATCCGCAAAGAAGACTACTTCTACAAGTCCCTCGTAGGTGACTTCAAAAAGTCGGGATGTCAGAAGAAGGAGAGCATAGAATCGGGAGACTTCGGAATAAGATGGTCTTGTCTTGTTGGGCTCTTATCCGCCGCGCGACTTTTTCATGGCAACTCCATCTTCGTGAAGAGTTAAAGAAGAAGAGGGGAAGCATATGATTAGGAGACTCCGAAATCTATTCTTTTGGAAGCAGCACAAGGAAGGAGAAGTCTAAAGGTGTACCGCAAGAACCTTCTCGACTATCGTGTTCCACTGATAACAATACTAAACGAACGGGACTCCCACATCTTTTCGACAGGAAATGGAATCGATTACGATAAGATTTTACGCCAATTTCTTCCGCTCATCAACACCCATGTCAAACCCCGTTATTCCCACTGGAGAAATACCACTACGGATTCTACCTGCTAAACTACGGCCGCGACCCAGACCATGAAGGCAGTTACGAGCTGGAGGACATTGCCTACACAAGATACTTGCGGAACATTTAACGTCTTACTTTCAAAAGGAAAGAATCGTCGACCAGTGGAGTATTTCCCGAACAATCCTTCTCCACAAGAAGGGCTGTAGGGAGGATCGAAATACCGTCCTCTATGCCTGCTGAGCGTATTTACAAACACTTTACAAAGATCATACTCGCTCGCATATCAAGAGCACTGGAAGAAGCCCAACCTGTGAAACAAGCTGGACAAGTGATTCAGTAGAGGATCGCATTCGAGGGTTCGTTCTTACGTGAGGACATGCCGACTTCTACAAGAACTGCACTCTACAGCGCAGCTTATCCATTGCCCCCTCAACATACCTTCGAATGGGGTTCGATATAGCGACTTCGTTTTGCCAAAGTTGTTTATCGCCGCCTTGCAGTTAGTGATGAAATCACTGGATTGGAACGAGAGAGGTGTACAAATTGATAGAAAATTATTCTCTTTTTGAGAAATATCACTGAAGCGGAGACGATGTTGAAAGAACTAAACGATTAGGGAAGCGGATAGTACTGCGAATCAATCGGAAGAAGACTCAAATCATTAAAAACGCTTTTTGCTAGAATCAGGAAACAAAACTGAAGGCTTTCCAAACGCGAAAAAGTCTTCTTACATACATCTTGGACGTTCAATGAAAATGGAGAACGATCTGAAAGAAGAACTGAACAGGAGGCAAAGAGCAGCTTGGGTTGCCTCCGGGACCCTAAAAGAAGCCACAGATCACTGACGGACCCAGAGCTCCGAGCCCATCTTTTTGGTTTAATAGTTCTTTCTGAGCACTGTTACGCAGCAGAGATGTGGCCTGAAACTGCGGCTATGTCGAAGGAACTCCTAACAACACACAGAGCGCTAGAACAACGTGGAACAACGTCTTCGGAATTACTTTCGACGCACGCAACATCTCGTCGGACTTCGCAGTACAGATATCAGGTCAATGCTTTAAGGAACATCGGTGGGCTGGTCATATAATGAGGACAGACGACAGGTGGACACTAAGAACTATGGAATGGATCTCTCGCGAAGACGTCCTCGAGGGAGGCCACCGACCAGATGGGCTAACGTGTTCTTTGCAGGGATGGCCCAACTGAATTTTGAGCTGATAACGAGCAGTGGATCTGGACCTCGCAAACGTCGCCGCCGCAGTGCAAAACCAA